TGAAACAACAACAAATAACACCAATAAAACATAATTTGCAAGATCCAAAGATCAAGCAACAAGAATCAACCATAGATCACATTGTGGAGGGTGAATCAAACACAACAATGGAGGAACAAGGGTTTACCACTTCAAAATTTGAAAATGCTTCAAATCAACTTCAAGAACCACATTCCAAAGCCTTGACCTATAGAATTTGATGATAAAGAAGTGTTTGGATGAAAGTTTTAGTTCAAAGGTTAGTAAGTTTCAATGAAAAGCTTACTAATTTTTAATGGAAGAAAGAACTTTAGTGAATTTGGTGGTTAAAGGAAATTGAGAGAATGAGAAGGAATTTAGACAAGGTGAATTTGGATATCAAAAGCTTGAAGAATGAATGAAATGAGGTCTCTATTTATAGAATTTAGGCTTGGAAATTTTGGTGGTTTGGAATTTAGTTTGGCATTTGATTTAGGCTTGGAATTTAAATTTGGAGACAAAATCAAGATCAAGTGGTGATTAATGAGTGTGTATGATGGGAATTAATTATGATGAGGTAGGAGAATTAAAATGAGGTGATCTAGAATATTCTCATGATGAAACAAATGAAATTTGGTGTCAAAATGCTGTTGAATTTGAATTTGGCTCATTTTCACAAAAAACGCACTAGTTAATCGATTAGCCATTTCATGTACAAAAAACGCACTGGTGATTAATGTGTATGTATGATGGGAATTAATTATGATGAGGTAGGAGAATTAAAATGAGGTGATCTAGAATATTCTCATGATGACACAAATGAACTTTGGTGTCAAAATGCTGTTGAATTTGAATTTGGCTCATTTTCACAAAAAACGCACTGGTTAATCGATTAGCCATTTCATGTATAAATTTGGTTAATCGATTAACACAGTGAAAAAGTGAAAAAAATAGCTTTTTGCTGTGTTGTCTTGACTCTGACTCGATTCTTTTGATTTTTCAAAGAAGACATAAAAATAAACACATGAACCTTAGAGTCTTTTGAGCAATAAACTATCAAATTTTGGGAAACTCTTGATCAAATGATTTTGAATTGTTTACATATCAACTTTGAATTTTTCAAATGAATTTCATTCGAGCTGAGAAACTGTTGATTGATGTTCTTGATTCCAAATCTCCTCCTGAAAAATGAGTTAGTAAATGAAAAAACAAACATATTTTTGGTATTTTGATTAGGTAGTAAACATAAACAATCAAATAAAGCAAACGAAAAAAATAACACATGTGCTTAATGATCTTGCTTATGATGCTGGATGCAAATGCTATGTGGGATCTTAGGGGTAAAAATTAGGGCATTACAATCAGGGTTCATCATATCTAATGAAAAAAGTTACAATAAAACACTAAAAAAAGTGCTAATATTGTAAACAGAGATAAAAAACAATAAAAAACCAAATACTGGAGATGCATTTTCGGATGAGCTCATACTAGTTCTGGAGATGTATCTCTAGATTAAATGCACGTTTTTCAAACTTAAAATAAGATTAATGTCAACAATGATGCTTGAAATAAATGATCTTTACCTGAAATTCCAGCTTCTTTTGTTCACTTTGATGTGATGATGAAACACAAGGTTGAAGATTTTGAGTGAAAATATGGATTGAGAATGAAAGGCTTTTTGGTAAGGGTTTGGAGTAGAAAACAAGTATGATTGTGTGTTCATGCAAGTGAGTGTTTAATCAAATTATTTTGCAGATGCATCTCCAGAAATATCTAACATGCAAAGTTGATCAAAATTTTAAAATCCCGCCCCAAACCTCCGTAGATGTATCTCTGATAAATCCACTGGACTGCTGAACTAACAATATATTTGTTGAAAATTTTCAGAGATGCATCTCTAGAATAATTTTGTGTTAATCTAGAATAACACTCGTTTGGTGCATCATAAATTGGTGCATGGTACGTCCGAAGATGTATCTCTAGAATCTAAAGGGCATTTTCAATTTTTTATATGGTGTTTTTCAACTCCGTAAGGTGGGATAAAAAAAAACTCCCTTGAAGGCTAGTACACCTGACCCTTGTGTTTTGGCCTCTGATATTTCTGAAGCCGTGATGAAAAACAATAGGATTCTTGGTGCAACACAGTAGAAGGATAAAGGCCAAGAGGTGATTCTTAGTGATGGTGGATCATGGGTGATTCAGACGGATGCAGGCTGCCATCCAGATGGGATCATATCCCTTGGGTGTGTCATAAAGGATCCGTCAAAGAAGGTTTTTCTAACTGCATCGAAGCGTATTTCTTGTTTGACTTGTAACACCCCAAATTCTTGGAATATTTATTTAAATATTAATATTCGCATTTTTGGTGATTTTCGATGGTTGGTATGAATATTGAGAATTATGAATTATTTATTTAAATAATAGTATATAATATGAATATATTGGTATTATTATTAATTTGAATAAATATAAGTGAATTAAGGGTAAAGTGGACATTTGAGGAGGAGTTAGTGAGGGTGAAGTTGGAAAGCCTAATTTTAAAGGCCCAAAGTTAGGTTTAACAAAAAGGAATTTTGATAGAATTAGGATTCATTCTTGTTAGACCGTGAAAAGGGAAGAAATAGAGGTCAGAGCTCTGAGGAAGAGGATTGATGCAAAAGCTTCGCAAGGTTTCTGAGAATCAAGGAGAAAAGCTTAAAGTCTGCAATTAAGGTATGATGAGTATTGCCTTCATTGTTTTCAATATGTGATTCAATGTGTTTAAAGTTGATTTAAGGGTTTAGAGATTTTTGAGTATTGAACTGTTGTTGTCTTTCTGATGGTGAGTTCAATGAGTTTAAGGGATTTGAACTGATGGTCTGATAGGTTTGAGGCTGATTTGAGATAAGAGAAATTAGGGCTTCATGGCCAAAACCTGTTGTTAAGGTTTTAACCTTGTAGGGTAATTGGATCGTGAAAACTCTAATGACTGTGGGGTATTTGTAAGAAACTATGGAAATTAGAGACGTAAATATGATACGGGATTGGCCAAATAAGTCGTAGATTTTGTGTCTTTATCGCCGTAATACCTTAGGAATGATTTAGGGATGTTTTTGGCGCATTGGGGAAGGAAATCGTAGAGGTTTTTGGTTTGCTTTTGGTGCTGGTGCGTAACAGCGATTTGCTGTAATCGCGAGTTCGCACGGCGAACATTCGCCCCAGACTCGCACAGCTAACTTGCTGGCGAACGTAGCAGAGTTTCGCGAATTCTGATCTTGTGCAGTGCTGTCTTGATGTTTTGATGTTGTGATTTCTTTGATGAATTACCATGAGTATGACTATGATTCTTCTGAGATTAATACATGATTGTATGATGATTCCTATAAGTAATTGTGATGATTTATGATGTTAATTCCATGAGCTTTTGATGATTATACGATGACGTGATTATGATGATGATTTTGATGAATGATGATGCACCTAATGAGTTTATTATGAGGATGATATTGACGTGTGTATCGTGCATTCATATGCATCCGAACTTCGGTTCAGGACCTTGATTTTTGTGGCTTTAGTCCCATTGTACGAATGTGAGGTATTTTGTTGTGCTCTGGTTCTCGAGTAGAATCGATCCTACTGTTGTGGATCTATGGAGGGTTGATGGGTCAGTGTCCATCGAATTTTGTTGATTGGTACCACATGCACGAGTCTTGTTGCATTTGCATTTATGTGACATTTTGATGTAATTTATAATGTTGTAGCCTTTTATGTTCCTTGATGATTACGATGATGTTGAATATGAAAATGACGTCATTTTATATATTGATTTCTATATTGATTATTATGAATCGTTTTACTCACCCTGCCTGTTTGAATGTTGCCTCCACGTGGGTAACGTGCAGATGACCGAGTGTAGCCGTGGATGCCGTCGAGGACTTTTGAAGTTTTTGGGTCGTTGGCTATTGTGGTTGACTTAGAGGGTCATGCTCTGATAGTGTACCATCGGGTTGGGGTCTTTGAGTCAAACTATATTTTATTGAGTTTTGTTATGTTGATTGCCTTGCGACGCAAGGAAAACTTTGGATTATTACCTTTTTGAGTTTTGCTGCCTTTTGAGTAATATTTTGAATAATTTTTAGAAAACTCGATTGTTTACGGAGCATTTACTATATTTGAATTATTGAGAAATGTGCGCCATTTTGAGATGATTTTATTACGTTCAATATTTTACTCAGATAAGTATGATTGATTTGTCATTATATTTGTGGGGTAGAAAAGGGTGTTACATGACTGACCCGGGTTCTGCGGAGCTTTTTGGCATCGAATGGGGCCTGAAGTTAGCAAAGCAGTTGAAGCTCGATAATTTTGTGATCCATTATGATGCCATGGTAATCGTGGATTGCATTAACTCTGTTGACAACATAGCGATCTCTTAACTACTTATTGTAGGTCCTTAATTAATAGTTTTGTGGATGTCACATTATTGTATATTAACAGACATTATTGTATATTAACAGATGTTATATTAGTGATACTCATGATATGGTGGAAATTGGTAAAGTCCTTGGATCTAGGATATGGTTTGGGTCAGCTCCCCCGCTGGGGTGACAATCTTTGAATTGCCTTCTCGGCTTCTCTTTAATTAAACTATCTTTCTATAAAATAAAATAAAATAAAAAAAACTCCCTTAAAAAATGTGATTGGGTACAAAGACTCTACTAAACGTGGTTACTCAAAATATTTTGCAAAAAGTTAATCATCAATAAAGTCCCAGGATACAATCATCAATCACCAACTCATATAGCATGGTAAGGATGAAGCAATGCACCAGCAACTCAAGGATATATCAAACTGAATAACTAGATTCAATCCCGTCAACTATCAGTCAGAACTCTTAACAGCATGGCACCAGATACAATTTCAATAAATGTTTGGCTAAGAAAATTTCATGCCACAATAACGAAAAAGTGAACCTTTTCATCTACAACACACTATTTACACTATTAACTTCAAGATTATGAACAAGAGATAGACACAAATGGTAATTAAAAAGACTAATGAACTTATTCAATGATTGTATTTTTGTGTGACAGCCTCTTTCTGATCTCCAAGATGGCCTCGTATCTTCTTTTGGTTAAATCTTTCATTGTCTCTTGATATTGCCGTTCAACTTTCTCTAACTCAACTCTTAACTCATCCTCAGTTTCATAGAATGAGACATTGTTGCTTTCCATGCCCGGAAACTTGCTCTTTTTATCAGAAGATGCCCCAACATCAGATGCATGTGAGGATTGACTCCATCCGTTCACTGTAGGTAAGTTGAAGTCTGTGAATCCCGACCTAGCAGACATGAATGAAACTGTAGAAAAATTCTTATCATTATAGTCAGATGTTGCTGAAGTGTATGATGTCACAGAATATAAATCGTTTGTGTTGGTTGCATGGGATAAAACATCTTCAAAAATCAAGTTATCGATGTTTTCTTTTTCGGTCAATCTCTCATTCGAGGTTGAGGGACCTGCATATTCTGCCACAACTTGGCTAGCATCTAGTGAGTTTTGTTTGTATTTTGCCAAGAGCGCATCTTGTTTCTGTTGGCTCAGATAAACTCGTTTACCATTTGGAGAAATTAAGTGATCAATGGCTACACAAGGCTTCCAATCAGGAACCAATGTCGTCAGTAACAGATCAATCAACTCGGCGATGAAAATAACATCATGCTCAGCAAGTTCAAGTTGCTCAACCATTTCTTTTGACACCGAGATGGCTGTATCACTATTGAGGTAGAATATGAAATGGATATTTCTTGCTCGCCCTGCATTTAGATGTCAGAGTACATAACTTTCTACTATCAAATTCAAAACACAATTAATGAGAGTAAAAATCAACTAAATACTAACCACCCTGATTAGTTATCCTTAGAACTAATGACACGGAGTTCACGTCATTTTCTTCACCTTTGAGAAAAAATCTATCACCTCCCACGAACCTTCGAATCTCAATACATGGAGAAGGTGGTGAATCATCAACAGAATTATAAAACACAGTGATCAATGGTTGCTCGTTGGTATCACCAAGATCCATTGCTATGGATCCAATTCGTGCACTAGCAGGACCTTCTGACATCAGACAGCGATTTTCAAAGCCTCCGAATTTAGGTAGAACAATATCTGGTAATGGAAGAGGGCGACTCTTTATTGAACCATTCACTTCAAGAAAAGGGTCCATCAGAAGCTCCTTTGCCGACAATCTTTGTGATGCCGGGACAAGACATTTCTCAATAAATGATTTTATTTCCGGATCTTTGATTTTAGAAAGAGAAACCGGCTTTATGCCCTGCAACACCAAACATTATATGACCCGAGTATCCTTCTAACAGCCTAACAAAAAAGAATATTGTTAATGAGAATAATTACAGATGAAACTTTCTTGTATATCTGAGCAGAGTTTCTACATTCTCGGTAAGGATACTCGGAAGTAGCCAACTCCAGCATGCACATCCCAAAAGAATATATGTCAGCCAATTCGTTATAATTTTCATCATACAATTCAGGCGCCATAAACTCCGGAGTTCCTATTAGGATTGCGCATGAAAAAATACAATTAGTGAAGAAATCAAATTGCAGGGAAGCAAAAAACAACAACAACATCAACAACAACTAAGTCTTATCCCACTAAGTAGAATCGGCTACATGGATCAACTTTTGCCATACTGTTCTATCCAGAACCATGCTTCTATCCAAATCATGTTTGTATTCTAACTTTTCATTACATATATGAGATAGCAAAACTTAATTTTGTATTACTCGTTTTAATGACATAAAGGATTAAAAGAAACTAATAGGAAAAATGTTACAAAACATAAGAACATACCAATTACACTCTTGGCATTAGTCTGCTTCAAGAGAGTTGCCAACCCCAAATCTCCGATCTTAACTATTCCTTGGTGACCATTTATAAATATATTATCGCACTTGAGATCCCTATGTATAATAGGCGGAGCATGATTATGGAGGTAAACTAAACCCATCAAAATCTGTCTTGCCCATCCTTTAACAGCTTTCATGTCAACCTTCTTGTGTTTCTTTCGGTACCTAAATCATCCATCAAACCCACTAACAAAAGGGCTAATCTCACAATAAAAGATAAAAACAAAATTAAAACACATTTATAAAGGATAGTGAAAACACACTGTCTCAGGCTCCCTGAGGTGAACAACTCAGTTATCATGTTAACATTCCTTTGCTTGTCATCAACCCATGAATTGTAGAACCTTACAATGTTACTGTGCTTCAAAGATCTCAAAAGATGCACTTCTGAATACAGCCTTTCTAGGTCGCCCGACGATTGTAATACCTCGTCAATCCGAACTTGGCTCCACGCAACTTCAAGCCCAGTGATTTCATCAAATGCCTTATAGCTGATTATCAACAAATTAAGGAAAATAGATACACTATAACCACATTGCTTGCATTATAAGTTATCCAAAAACAAAGGATACACAGTCTTGAAAGCTCCTTTGCCAATTACTTCATTATACTATAATGATTGCAAAAACTAACATCAACATCAAATTAAGAAATGAAAAAGGAATGAAAAAAAAATGCACACAAACACAACATTACAAATTACAATACCCTAAAATAACGACAAGTAGGATCAATTTCAATGATATCAGGATCTGGAGGCTCAAGAATCACCGAACCTTCCTCGGAGCAATCCGTGTCCGCCAAACTCATCTAGAAGGTGCTATAATTCCTTTTCTACAAATCAAACACAACAGATTGCAAACATTTGGGATCAACATTCAAGGAATTGTATTTTATTTATTTATTTTTGCAATCATGTATGAATGAAAATGGAAAATGGAAAATTGGGAAATTATAGTACCTTAAAATAGGAACAGGAGCTTCTGAGGTGAGTTTCTCGGGAGGAATCCCGTAGAGTTTAGAAAGAGAAAAGGGCATCAGAGTGTTGTTTTGATGAATGGATGAATGAATGGGTTATTACCAATCCATCACCCCTTCTTCTTCCAACACAACAACATAACATAACACCTTATCATTTCTTTCTCTAAAAACAGTTAAAACGTGCAAGACACTTATTTCTAATATTTTCCTAATCCATAATCTATTTATACTTTATCCCTCTCTCTCTCTCTCACTATAATTATCTCCCCTCTCCCTTTCATTCCTATAAATCAAGTGATCTAATTTAAATATTAAATGAAATAATTTAGTCATAATTTTATTTATCTTACACTTGAATTCCAAATTATCAAGTTATATTCTTCTGAAAATCGAAATTATAAACATAAGAGTTTTTTTAATAGTTTGATAAAATTTATTGACATGTGTTCTCAATAAGGTACCATAGTTGAGAGAGAGTTAATTTTGGAATTGGAGTATTTATAGAAGACTCTTTAGATTTAGATTATAAAGTGGTTTTCCTAGCTCCACGATCAGAAGAAACATGTGAATAGAGGAAGATTTATTCTCCTAAGATTGTAGAGGAGATAGTTTTTTGCTCTACACCTCGTAGGCCACGTCTGATAAATAAGATATATCATAGATTTTAGTTGGGGCGACCCAAGTCCAATGGAGCTGGATGATCTGTTATGCACTTTGGACGATTTGTTATGGTTAGGGCACTTACTCAACATTTCCGCACTTAACTCGAGTTGTTGTATCATGTACCATCCCTTTTTAAGTCCGATAAAATTATCTTAGTTCATAGTCCCTCAAGCATGAGGCCTTAGAAAGGTTTAAGCGATTTAATTCAAATGTATTGTAATCTTAAAGATTTTGTGAGTCCCTCAAGCGATGTTTAGAGCGAGTTCCTCAAGCGTCACTTAAGGATGCACGTGCAACATTAAATATCTCTCATGATAGTTTTGCCTTGGGAAACCACGTCTGCCAAGGATCCTCGGTTCCCTCACACGTGTCTAGAAGGAAGATGTAAAGGTTCCCTTTGTAACTGTTGGTGCACACCTAGGGGGAGACAATCATGACATATGCGACCCAAGTTCATGACCCTACAAACGAAGAACTTTAACTCATTTTTTATCCATGTTATTTCAAAAATTTTACTTAAAAAGACAAATTGCATTCAACCTTTCTTAAACTCAACTCCGCCTTCCTTCATAGCTCACATGTATAACATTTTCTTTCTTTTTTTCACCTTCCTCATTTTTCAAAAAAATGGTGATCATTAAGGAGTTAAATGAGAAGCATAACGTGATTGAGCCTTATGAATAATACATGAAAAACTCTAGGCGGATTGACGAATCAATTAATTATAGGCTTTTCGAAATATGAATGTTTGAGAGTTATGAGAGCTCCTATAACTACAGTAGTGATAGTGACCCTTATTTTTCCTATTCTTTCTCAAGATGTTAAGTCTATAAGCTTGATAACATAGTGTTTCTTGAATTTCACGCTAATGCCATAACCGGATTATGGTTGAACCACTGTTGTACACCTCTATGTTTCAATAACTTGACATAAAAGGTTTATGTTAGTTGAGTTGTAACATTCAACATTTTTTATTGAGTTGTAAATACCAATCATGGGTTGTGTGAATGTGAAGAAAGTAAGTAGGTTTTCATATTTAGGGGTAGTCCTTAAATAGAAAATATTAGGATTAGGAAGAGGATCTAAACAACATAGAGTTTGTTGGTTCTTGTAAGATTAAGTGTACTAATTTAAAATAATGAATTTCCTTTCTTGGGTAGAGTGTCCCACATACGTAGTTGTGATTTCACCGAACTGAGTTACCAACCTCTAGTGTTCTTTATTACGTTTCTACTTCATCATCTTGTAAAAGTTAATCTGTCATATTTTGCTTGCAGATTAGTTTTTGTTTCTGGTTTACAATGTCACATACATCATGTATGACATCTGTCTCCAAAAACTCTAATCTGTTATAAAATAGTAGTTCTTATATTCCCATGCATCTGGTCCAACATATGTCTTCTATAGAACATAATTTTTTAATTTTTATCGCACCTCTTCTTCTCTAATCTCTCATCTCTTCTATTCTTTATTTTTCATCTTTATTAATCTCTCACGTATTTTGTTTCATTATAATGTTTTGTATATTTGTTTTGCGCTATTATTTTATGTTTATTATTCCACTTTTGTTAAATATGATTTTTATATATTAAATGAGAAGTTTTTGTACAAATATGATGAGTTTTGTTGTTATTTTGTAATGTACGAATGACTATATACAAAGTTATATTGTCATTTATATGTGTACGTATGACTCAATAATTTTAAAACAAAACCAAACCACCCAAACTGATCCGCATTGGTTTGGTTTGATTCGGGTTTATTTCTAAAGCAAAGTGAACCAAATTAAACCAAACCAAATGTTTTTTCTCTTATAGTTTGGATTATTTTTAGCCTCAAAATTGCCCAAACCACTTCGCGAACACCCCTAACCACTTTTGGTAATGTCGTCGAAACCGACACTTGGCTCATAACAGAAACAGTTACTCCAACGAAAGTTGAAGTTCCTGCACCACCAACCATTGTTTTGATCGGTTGTTCTTTTGTATTTGAAATATCGTTCTTGGGAAAGGAAGAATTTTTTGATCCCGCCATCTCAACAAGAGTTTTACCACTCCTCAGACACATAAACACCCAGACATTGAAAACATTTCATGCATAAAGAACAAAACAAATAATAAGAACACAAAAATACTCTTCTGCAAAAGTTTACTTTTTCGCACAAAAGGATCATATTGGACGTGCCAATTTGTTTGCGAGTGTTTTTAGCAAATCAACTCACAAGTTTTAACTTACTCAAGAGATTAAACTCAAAAAAATTCTGTGGACAATTTGTGCAAACAGTTTTGATGCAACATGTTTGTGTCTGAATGTGCGGAAATTAGGTCAAAATTCCAATACAAACAATACAGAATTATTCAACGATATAAAATAAGTAAAGAAAAAACAATAAAAGCAATCAAATAAAATGCGTTGATTAAACGCTTAAGAACATGGTCGCAGATTCATACATGTTTTTCAAAAACTCTTTTCTCTTTATGATTTAGATATTCAAGTTATATAAAGAATGTTGATAAAATTTACAAACCTTTATTACATAGCTGAAATCAACATATATATTAAATACATCAATAACCGTTGATAACGGTTATTACCATATGAGTTGTGAATATAAATCCTTGAAACAAAATATAAACAATTTCTTTATAGACAAGAAACACACAAGGATTAGGGTTAACAAAGAAAACAAGGGAAAACAACAAAGATTGGTTATAAACTGCTATTTTTTCCTTTCTCTATCAAACAAGATTACAAGTATAAACAAGAATAACAAATAACCTCTCTCTCTTGAATTAGGATTTTATCTTCCTATTTTTCCTTATACAAGTTGAGAGACTAGCATGCTATTTATAAGAAAACTAACACACTAACCTAATGGGCTTTTTAACAATTACTCATTACAAGCTAACTTAAACAATTGGGCTTACAAGCAATGCCCGATTCAACATGCTAACAAACCTAGCAATATTGACTAATGCATGTTAGAACAAACTTCGACTACAGTACACATTACTCGCGAACAGACTTCGATCATACTAGAGTTCGATCCAATATCTCACAATACGACTTGACGCGTATCCTATTACGTGGCCTTCTTCTTTTTGATATGTTTCCACGTGATTCTTGGCCTTTGAACTATCTCTAAACTGCTATTATTATTGAACCGTCTTCACAACATCTAACAACCCATGTCTAGGAGTTTCTCTGTCGAACCCTATAGTGGTGTTGAACTGTCTATGGATCACCCAATCATTGAACTCAAGAATACGCTAAGTCCCAAAATACTTGAAAGACAAGTCGAACTTACCACCGTGTCGAAATATTAACCCAATGCGAACCTTTTCGAGATTCTAGACATGTTTTGAAAAGAAAGTGATCATAAGAGAACTGAGATTCTTCAAAACCAGACTTAATAAATTTTAGTATAGTGTCGAAAATAACATTCTGACACAACAGATAGCGCAACAGAAAAGCCAACCCCAAAAATAGGATAGCTGAATAGCGAATAGTGGGATAAATTTTGTTGACTTTTTAGAATTGACTACTTTTTATACTAAATATATAAATGATCTATACAAATATATTATTTTGGGTGAACATTAAGAAAAGTGTTAAATTAAGGTTTATAAAAATCAAATTTAAAAAAATAAAATGAATTAAAAATTCATTTATTTGTTCTAGTATATATTATTATTTTCATTATTAAATATTATTATAAATATTTGTTCAGTTTAATATTATTATAGTTATTAAGTTAACATATAATAAATTAAAGGCCCACCCAGACTGTAAATTAGTCTAAGGCCCATACATTTCAGTCCAATTATGTATGTATTTAGTATAAAAAAACCCTAACCACTACACATCTTTCGTTTTCTTCTCCGCCGCCACTATTTTTCTTCTCTCTTTCTTCATCGCCACCATTACATTTCTTCTCTCTTTCTTCTCTGCCGCCATTACCTTTTTTCTTTCTTTCTTCTCCGCCGCCACTACCTTTCTTATCCCTTTCTTCTCTGCCGCCACCCGCCAACTGCATATACAAAACAACCAGAGAAACACAGTTGGAGAGAAAAAAACACAAAAGTGGAAAAAGAGCTCTGCCTAGGGTGCACAGCGCTACACGCGAACCACAATCTCGTAGAAATCGGCTGCGATTTAAGATGGAG